AAAACAAAAAGAAAAGGAAAACGATTTAAGCGGATTTTTAGATTTTAATATTTAATAGAAAAGTAAAGAAAAGAGAAAACAAAAACACGAATTGGCAAATGCAAATTTTACCAACTATAAACGTTAATAAAAACAATTATCTCATTAAAGCTTCGACATTTAGGCATAGAATTCACTAAAAAAAAAAAAAACACACAAATCAAAACAAAGTTAATAAATCGCAACTAAATAAAATACAAAAAGAAAAAGAAAAGAAAAACAAAATCGACTAGCGGAATTGTGCAAATGTTTTATTTATTAAAATGTACAACTAATGAATAATAGAATTGGTTTAGTTTAAGTCGCAATGAACAATGAGAACAGCGAGAGTATTTTCAACTTGTTATGTTAGACAGTTAAGCAAACGTATTTAAGATTACAATTTAAACACAATTTGTAAATGCTTCACGCACAGCAAACAGCCAAAAATACAAACTATGAATTGCCATAAAATAAAATATAAACCCAAAAGATTTCAATTGTAAAATGAAAACAGAAAACAAACAGCAAAGAAAAAATGAAACATGAAAAGCCACAGTAAACACACAGTAAGCAGCACACTGAACACTGAAACCTGTAGACAGTACTCCACAGCCAAGCCAAATAACATGAAAACCAATAAAAATGCAAAGTTAATTAATAAAAAAACAAAAACAATAAACAAACACACATGCAAGCTGGCGCGAGACTGACTTGTGAATACCCTATACACATGATAGACACGACAGCAAATTTATTTAACAATATATTTATTCTCTTCGAAACATTATTTTTCGATGTTTTTAATTTTATTTATATTTTGTTTTTGTTTTATTATATTTCTTATAAATATTTAAGGTACTGAAACGAAAAAACTATAAGTGAGAAGCTGAATACTATTAACAGATATATCTTGATCTTATCAGAACTAAAATTTTGGAGAAACTTTTATAATCCTGTTCGATATATATCGTTTTGATATACAAATAACTTATACCTTATCATCTTAAATAGAAAAAAAAAAAAACATGATATCATATATCGTGTAAAAGAGAGTGAAGAATACTCCGTCAACAACTTATCAAATTACCCTCGTATTATATAGAGTTGCATGCGCCACTCTCTTTATCGCTCTTCCTCTTCTTTCCATCTCTCTCTCTCTCTCTCTCTCTCTCTCTCTCTCGTTACATACTTCAACCCATAAGCAATATACCCATTTGTATGCATGCACTTGTCAATTGGGTATTCAAACACAAACTAAATCGACTCGAGCTAAGCGAAAAACTGGCTCAGCGCTCAGCGCTTAGCGTTCAGCACATTGCGCATACGCCGCGTAACCCGCCTAGCTAATTGGCTTATTAATTAATTGATATTGGCAGAGTATTTATGCACCAGCTGGGCGGCTGTCAATTCGAATGAGCTAAACAATTGTGGCTAATACAATAAATAACAGTAAATTCACACACACACACACACACACACCCATAATCAGACTGAGATATGTCACTAAGCATTTGCCGTTTTATTGAAGGCACGATTTGGTTGCTTAGCCAACTTTGGCTATGATTCGCGAGTATCTAAAAATATGCAAATGCTAAGGTATTTCGCACCCACGCTGATTTGTTTATATAATATTGATATTTATATATACATATATATTTATATCTGTGCTGATGATGAGCAGCTGGATGGTTGTGTGGTTCCTGTTTAACACCGTCTAACCAGGGCCGAGCGCCATAAAAACCCTAAGCACTTCAATAAAAACTAACTGGTACGCGTTGTTATTGACTTACAATCGTCGATGATTACCAGGCATAGTAATAACTACAACGACAACAAGCACAACAACAACAAAAGCAACTACTATAACTAACAAAGGTTGCAGCATCACGACGATGACGCCGCCTGAGCCAAGCATCGCTTCGTCTCGTCTCGTCTCGTCGAGTCGAAACTCGTTAGCCGAGTGAAAAGCATTTGCGGGCCTCCATCCACTGAGCCGCTCAGCTGGCGTAGGGGCTGCTGTGGTATAAATTCGCCAAGGGAGAACATTTGGGCATCATTCGATTTTCAGATTTTGCAACGAAGACGTCGCCAGCTTCGCTCTGCACCCAGTGTCCAGTTTCCAAGTCAATCGATCGTTCGTTCGTTCGCTCGCTCGCTCGCTCGCCTCACATTTGGTGTTTCGTTTCCAGTCTTCGCTTGACTGTGCGCAGCCGCGACCAATCTCTCAGCCAGCATGGTGAGTGGACAGAGGCTGTGCTCGCGGCTTGATCAGGGTTTTCATTTGTCGTCTTGTTGTTCCTCTCGCAGCGCCTTCTATTGGCCCTGGTGGCGGCGCTAGCTGCGGCCGGCGTCTCAGCGGATGTCTCGCATCTGGACACGGATTTGCGAGAGGATGGATATCATTACAAGCAGCCGTCGCAGCCGTTTCCGCCGCCGCCCACGGGCAATGGCATTGAGGATTCGGGCTTGATTCCCGGACCGGCTCCCTCGGCACCGGAACCATCGTATGGCCCGCCGCAGACGCAGCCGCCGCGCCCACCACCGCAGCCTGTGCCAACAGCGCCCAGCCCTTCCTATGGACCGCCGCAGACGGAGCCGCCACGCCCACCACCGCAGCCCGTGCCCACTGCTCCTGGTCCATCTTATGGACCACCCCAAACGCAGCCACCACGTCCTCCACCGCAGCCTGTGCCAACTGCACCAGGTCCTTCCTATGGCCCACCACAAACCCAACCACCACGCCCACCACCACGGCCGGTGCCCACGGCTCCTGGTCCCTCGTATGGACCACCGCAAACACAACCACCGCGTCCGCAGCCACAGCCACAGCCCCAGCCTACGGCTCCGGGTCCGTCTTATGGCCCTCCTCAGACTCAGCCTCCACCACCACCTCCTGCTGGCCCGGAATACCTGCCGCCTGATCAGCCGCAGCCGCCTAAGCCACGTCCCACTCCTCAGCGCCCCCCAGCACCTCAGCCACGCCCAGATTATGGTCCGCCACCTCAGCCACCGAGTCCCCAACCACCAAGCCCCCAGCCCCCACGCCCGCAACAACCTGGCGCTGAGTACTTGCCCCCATCTGGTCCGCCAGCACCACCCACCTATCAGCCACGACCACCGACATCTGCCCCACCAGCACCGCCCACCTATCAGCCACGTCCACCGGCACCACCCACCTATCAGCCACGTCCACCCGCACCACCTGCACCACCAGCACCTACACCCAGCTATGTGCCACCTCCCGGACCCACTTATCAGCCACGCCCTCCAGCTCCACCAGCTCCTCCAGCACCTACTCCTGGCTATGGTCCTCCTCCTAGTCCTCCCGCACCGCCCACTTATCAGCCACGCCCACCAGCACCGCCAGCACCGCCAGCACCCACCCAGGAATACGGTCCGCCCCCATCTAGCCCACCAGCGCCGCCCACTTATCAGCCACGCCCACCGGCACCACCCGCACCACCCACAGACGCTGGCTCGCTGGGACCCGATGGCTACAATTACAACAAGCCTGCCAAGCCGTTTACCTTCTAAATGCTGCCAACCGCAAAAGCACACACACACTCACACACACTTATACACTCTTAGTATTCTTAGCGTAAAGCATTCTGGACCCAATTGCTACAGCCCCCTCCCCCACACACCCACCCGCCCGACTTTTTAGGGTACACATTGTAAAGAAACCTTTGTAAAGCGTCGCTTCCAAATAAAGTAAAATCTAAACACCAAAACCAATTACGAGAAACACATTTTGTTGGTGGTTCATCCAGTGGTTGGCCTCCGTTTTGATTTTTTGTTGTTTTTCTTTTTTGACAGCTGCTGACGCGTTCGAGTTGGATGGCGAGATGTTAGCTGAAAATATCAACAGTTCAAGTGCATTAACAGCCGCCGGCCGGCAGTTGTTGTTGTGGTGCAGCGGGTCGGGTCAACTCAATCAGCGGTGCAATAGTTGCCACAAAAATGGCAATGCATAGGCGGAAACCCAAACAGTTAAATGTTTATCAAAATTGCTTTGTAAATCCATAAATACACAGATCCACAAATAGCACTAGAGTGGTGCTCTGGCGCAGTGGTGCAGTGGTGCAAGCTGTTAGCGCCATACTTGGGCACGCATTCAAGGCGACAAAATCAATAGAAGCGAGTCGAGCGAATCACTTGTGTCACTCTCAATGATGCTGCTGACGGCGGCGACGGCGGCGACGGCAATGACGACGACTCAATTCCCACCGGCTGTCAGGCAGTTCATCAATCAATCAGTCTATCAGTCAATCAGCCAATCAGTCCATCAGTCCATCAGTCATTCAGTCACTTAGTCAATCTGTTCATATGTCAGGCGCTTAGTCAATAAATTGTTGCTGCTTTGTTCATTAAGCTTCGCATTTTGGCGCCCAAAAAAAGAAGAAGAAAAAAAAAAAACTGCAACTGCAACTGCAACTGCAACTGGTTGTGCAATGCTCTAGCTGCCACAGGGCTTTGTCACACACTCCAACACACGCACATACATAATTACATAAGCATTAGTGGCATTTGGCCTTCGATACGGCTGTGGCTGCAGCTGGACACAGAGCTGGGATGCTGGAGCTGACGAAGACACGCGCCCTTCGCCGCGACCCACTGGATTGCTTTTGATTAACGTCTTAACGAGTGTCTCTCTCGGGTGTGATTTATGTATTTTGCTGACACCCTGTGAGGAATGGCTAAGAATGGAGTCTGATCGACTTAAGTGCGGTTGGCTGGGTAGAGAGTTGAGCTGAGAATTGGCAGAAAGAATTCACCATATGGAATAAACTCATATATCTGATATCTGCAAAATTAACTACATACTTTTTAATCAGAACTTAATACAGTCGATAAATGTTGATTTTCGAAAATTGAATAACGAATTTTTTTAGTAGCTTTCAATTACGACTTGAAGTACGGCACGTATACGTAATCTTTTATGATATGATCTAGTCCCAAACGTTGTTGTCACAGCGCTAGGTATTTACCCGTCGTGTATGCTCGCTTCTGGTATTCCTACCTGTTAGCTTGACGTCTCTTTGTGGCTGCAGCTGCAGCTTGTGGCAGACAGGCAGCTCGTAGCTGGCGTTTTAGCTTGATTTATGATTACAACGATTGAGATTTTTGCGGCATGTCAAAAGATTCGGCACGCATTGTGCTGATTAGTTTGGAGATTCATTGTCTGTGCTCGGCGCAGAACAAGTTCATTAGTTCATCAAATGACCTTATCAAATTCCATGTAACGACACCAGGTATCCCAAGCCGGAGCACAGCTACAGACAAAGCCCCACTATGACGCTGTCCATCCGGGTGTAATTTCCCAAACAAGTTATTCATAAGCCGGCGTAGTCAGCCAGCGCTTAACACGCAAATGTAAATAATTTGAACAGTAAATGAATAACTTTAATACAATGCAGTAAACAAAAATTGGCTTATTGGAAAAAAAAATAACATCTGTATTTCTTCGGGCTGCCGATGTATCATCTATGTGATCCATCGATCTTGGGCCAGCGGCAGAATGTTTTTAATCTTCGCGCATATTAATCTCGCTTCTTAGTTTTGAGTCATGTAGCTAATCAACTTCATTTGTTAGCTGACAAATTATAATTATGACTTAATCGATACGCCAGATAGCGTTGCAGAACCGTTTCGTCATGTTCTCTAATTACGTATACGCAACGTGGGCCCGCTGCGAACAATAAACGAAATCAGATTTTTCGCAGGGCAACGCCTCTTGTAAATCAATCAAAGGCGAAATTGCCCTTGGCACAGAATTCCGTGGATTTCCACAATTCGGGCTGGCCAAGCAAACACCACAAGTGGCAAAAAAAAAAAAAAGAAACAACAACAGAAGCCAACAGCCAAGCACCCAACAGCCAACAGCCAACAGCCAACAGTCGGCAATCAGCAACGCACTTTACATTTTTTTAACACACAAACAAACATTGCGTACGATGATTTGTGTAGACGGGCCTGGCTTATAACTTATATGAAATAGTCCGTTCATATGAGCGGACAGCAGCAGGCAACAAACAAAAAAATATGCTGCAAAGCCAGCCACGCATGAAAATCGTTAGCTCAATCATGATTGAGCATATTTCGTCTGTTTCGGATTGAGCTGAGCCAAGTCCGGCTTAGCTCAAGCCTAAACGTATGCATCGAAATTTGGATAGCGCTAAGCTTTCGTTCATGTTGATGTTTCAGCTAAGGTTGCTTTCTGAGCTGCTTCGAAACTGAACTTTTTTCGAACATAGTAAATGATTATGAATGAATGAAAAGCTACTCGAGTAAAATACTACAGGTGCAGAGCAGTTAATCAATATGTTAAGCGGAAATGCTCAGATATATCAGCTTCTATTAACATTATTAATTAATATATGATGTGACAGAGCCCATACAGTAGATAAATTATTGATCTGCATTTTCATACAGAATTGTATTTGACATTATATAAAAAAAGTATGATCATACGGGGTTGAAATGCTAAAGGCCTTTGCTTTATTTATTTTCATTTAAAATTTTGATTACAAAAGTCTATCTACAACAAAAACTACAAAACAAATAAATTCCTATACTACAGCCCTATAAAATTATTTAAATATATTTTTGATTCTAGTATTTATACCCAAAAACAAATTATTTTTATGAATAATATTAATTTTCACATAATTTACATTAATTTTCATCCACATAGATATTTATCTGCATATTTCTATTCATAATTCTCTTTCTATTTTTATTTATATTTAGATTAGTTTTTTATTAAAGACTAATTATAAATAGCATACATTTTACATTTATATTGACTCAACAAATTTGTTGTAAATTTTTTATACTTCGCCCTTACGGATATTACCGAAATCTGTTGACCTTGGCCCTTTGATGAGCAACTCTCACACGTTTATCTAAAGCACACACACACACACGCACACACACACATACACACACACAAAGTTGGAGAGCCTAGGATTGTGTCAGCTAGAAGATGCCTCAGCTAATTTGATGATAAAGCTTTAAAAGCTAAATATAAATAAAATTGAATTACAAATTAACGAGCAGCAGATTGCTTATCATGTTTCAGTTTTTGGGCTTTGTTAAGAAATCGGATTTAGCATTGTCTTTAGCAGTTGAGACAATGCTTGGTTATGGAGTGGTTTGGAACAACAGTCTGCGATAATGTTAACATTTTTAGAACTTTTGTGGAAATATTATTGTGTAAAGTTTATTGTAAAAATATACATCAAAGTCTGAGAACTTACAAACAAAACTAATTTAATGAAAATATTTTATTTTTAATTAAAGGTTCAAATCGATTCAAAGCATAGGATAAAGTTAATGTTGATATGGCCATAAAGGCTGAGGTGTGCAAGGCCTAAGCTTTAGATCTCTAGATCTGATGAGTCAAATTTGTTAAACAAAAATTCTATCCCCTTGAAATAAATTCTTTCTCGATAATGCTCGATACTTTCAATTAATGTGTAAATCGAAAAAGTATAATCCCTTTGCCGTGTAATATGAAAAAGTATTTTATTAATGATAAGTAATTCATATCTAACCTCTCCAATCTTATAAAGTGGAGACAAGGCCTCGATAGCCATTAACCTGCTATTTTTGTACTCTATTCACAGCTCAGCTTATTTCGATTTATGAAAGCAGCCCACTTCCTTATCGAATTGTTATTAACCGATATATCAAGCAAATTATGCTCCGCTCTCCCTCTGCTCCATTAACAGAAAGAGAAACGCTCACGCGTCTCATTCTGCACAATTGCAGAAACTAATCAATTGTTTTTTATAGACGTTTAACCACAATTAACCTTCCGAGCGCTCAAGTGATTGCGAATAAATCAATATCATTTCTAAGTAGCTCTTCCCAACAACAACAACAACAATGAGAATTGGCAGCTGCAAACTACGAATTATTAACGAAGCGCGAACAAAATCGTTTAGCGGCAGAAAATAAATAACAATAAAAAATAATACAAACAAAAACAAAAACAAAAAACATAACAACAACCGAAAAATTGGCAATTATTTATGAGCATATTCCCGGCGCTTGTGAACAACGGCTTATTAGTTAAGCCATTGTTGAAGAGAATAACATTGATGGATAAAGATGTAGGGCGGGTGGCCCATAAGCGCTTGCAATTGATTTGATTTTGTTTTGTCTTCCAACAAAGATTTCCATAATATCAAGGTGCACTAAAACATTTTGTTGGGCTATTAAAATTCAATTAAAATGTTTACAAAGCCCAAGCAGATCACAGATGTCTAATCATTGACAAATGTATAGATAGTAACACGCATATATGCATATATACATATATTCATATATATCAATATATTTATGTATATAGTACATATGGAGTGAACCATTCATAATGCCTCTGGGTGGCTTTTGTCACGCAAATGCTGTTAAAATCTTTGTCGACGGGCCGGAAACCGGCTACTGCTCTGAATCGAGTCGTGAAACAATTAACGGCACGTCAAATGTGCGTTGTGCAGCGGTTCAACTGGAGCTGACCAACAACAGCAGAAGCAACAGCAGCACCAACAGCAACAACAACAACAATAATAATAATGTGGCTACAATGTGGGTCGTGCGCCGTGAGGGCCTCCAGCCACTGACAGGCACTTGTCAAAGAAAAATCCATAAGACGTGTCAAACACAAATCAAATGCAAATGAGGCAGCGAGCAAGCTCAAAAGAAACCACAAAAAAAAAAAAAAAAAAAAAAAAAAACAACAACAAACCAAAATTAAATTATCCAATGTTTACAATCTCTTTACAAATTTTGACCTTGGCCTTACACACACACACATGCACACACATACACGCAGCAGCATCACTAGCAGCAACAGCATTCAAGTCATTTATAAGATGCACACACAAAGCCTTAGCCAAATAAAGCGCAGCTAAAGCGAAACAATGTCAGAGCAGTTACTTATCATTTAATTCACACACACACACACACACACGCACGTACAGACACTCGTATACCTTTACAGCCGCCATTAGCTGGGCCATTGACACCGCTTAGAACTTTTACATCACAGCGCGATCTTGGCCAGACTTAGTGGCGGGATCAGTTCTTCGCATTGCCCGCGCACTACGTCACGTGTCTGCTTTGGGCCAGAGCTGAAAACGGGTTCTCGCCGTTGGCTGAGATCAAGATAAAGGCATTTGCATTTGTGCAAATTAACTCGAATGGCTGATAAATAAGTATAAACATTTAAATCAACGAGTTTTTGCCTAAGTGCTGCGAGAACGAGTTCGATCGATAGCTATCAGCGGCAGCTCATGTTTGGCTATGAACTAGATTTGTCACCGCCACAACACCAAATATGAATGGAGATCAAACGAGTTTCAGTACCAAGCACTCATCTAGCCCCCCAATCAATTGTCAATTACTCAATACGAAGCAAAAGTTCAAAGTATCATCGCATAGAATCACGACGGCGGCGGCGGCGGCGGCACGAGTCAATAGAAGATGAAATCGAGATAAAGGTGCCAAATTGTCTAAGCAAATTGTTGAGCGCTTTGGCCATCGCTGAATTGTCTGGCCGACGGGCAGCAGCCATTATAATTATCGAGTTTTATTATGTTTTTTTTATTTCTGAAGCTAAATATATATGTATATGTATAAAAGCTAATTACTAAGTTAAATAACGATTAGATTCGGCTTAGCGGTGCTGGCTCACTGTTCTATGCTGGATCGTTCGATCTACGTCTCATTTGCATAATGAATTCTGTGTTGCCAATTAAATTTGAGCATCTTCGACTCGGACTTTCACACAGCGCGCGTGTCGCCAGAGAGAATGGGAACGAGAATGAGAACGAGAACGAGAACGAGAAATAGAACGGGGCATCAATAGAAATAAAGACTGTGACATTTTGAAGGGGGAATGAAACAAGAAATACAAATTAAAAACTATTCCACTGGATCAACTGGCTTAAATAGTTGCCAAATTCACAATGATGATGAGCTGAATGCGGAGGCGGAAATAATGCGTAACATTTGTTTATTTGCTCGAGCAGCTATTTAAATAAACTTTATTGAAGCATTTATAAATCACTCGAGTGCTCAACACATTCTACATGTCTGCCTAACTATCCATTCGCTAGAATAAATGCCTACTCTATGAAATACCCTAATAACTTTAAAATCTTTACGACTTGCTCCGATTATGTATGATAGTGATGCGAACTGAATTTACACTTGACGAAAATTAGGTTAAAGTTGATCTGCTCTTGAAGTTTCTGTTTAAAATTGTAAGCTTGAATGATTAGTGGAAATATAAAATTCATATAAATTATTATTTTTAAAAATACATGTATAAATATTTACAAATAAGAATAAATATATTTTTGTAAAGTCGAAAATATGTATATATCTGAGTAATT